CTAAAAACAGAATTATAGAAGAAATACTAGTTATATATAAGAGGTTAGAAATTCTTAAAATAAAATAGAGAAAACTTAAGAATTTATAGTATTATATATAAAATAACCGGAAAACCTATTATAATAAGTACTAGTTAGCTAAATATTACTCTAAAGAAGCCTAGATAATATTATTAATAAAGAATATTAAACTTAAAATAAAGAAGCTTAAACTAAAATTTATAAGTTTATTTAGAATTCTTAAATATATTAGTAATTTAGTATATAAGTTAAAATTACTAAATATATATAATTATTTATATTTAACTTTTTATATTTCTTTTTTTAAAGAATATATAATAAAAAAGAATTAGAAGCTATATTTATATTTTTCTAAAGAACTTCTAGAATTAGTAAATAATAATAAAAAATAAGAATAAGAAATAAAAGCTATTATTAATTACTAATAAAATAATAGAAATAAAAAGTAATAGTATTTAATTAAATAAAAAGCCTAGCCTAAAGATTATAATATCTAATTATTTACTTTCCCTAATCTTAAAAATTTCAAGAAACTTCTGAAATTATATAACTAAAACTATAGCTTAGAATCTAAAACTATCTTTTAATAATTTCTTAAAATTAAAAAGAATTCTGAATTATTAAGAAAAAGGCTATTTAAAAGAAAAAGAGAACCTAAATAGCTAAGAAAAGGCCCGGAATAATAATAGAAATACTTTTTCTCTAGGATTTTTTTATTTATAAAAGTTTCTAGGGTTTTATTAAAGCTTATAAGAATTATATTTAAATTATTAGAAAAAGATTTAGAATTAAGAAAGATTTATTATAAGTAAACTAGCTATAAGTATCTTAAATAAATAAATTTTAATTCCTATAAATTCCTAATTTCTAAAATAAAAATACTAAATACTAGCCTTATTTAGAACTTAGTAAAGAATTAGCTAATACTCTCCGGAATTTACTTATTTCTTAATAAGATATAGTTATATTATAATAATATTAGTATTAAAAATATTAAGAAAAGTAAATAAGGAACTTATAATAGCTATATATATTTTATAAAAGGCCCGAACTTCTGAAATTAGGTTTTAAATAGTTATAAGTATTATATTATTAGTATTTAAAATACTAGTAATAAACTATTTAGTAATTTTAGTAATAAGCTTAGTAATAAAATTAATATCTTAAAAGTAAATATTATAATATTTCTTTAAAGAATTAGTAAATACCTAAATATATTAGAAAAAACTTATTTTTAGAATACTAATTTAAATAGTATTATTATTTATTTTATTAAGATAAAAAGAAGAATTCCGAAACTTATTAGTATTTTTCTAGTTTTTAAAAACCTAATTAATAATATTATTCTTATTAGTATAATATTATTTAGAATATATTTTAAGAAATTTCTTAAAAGTTATAATAGTATTTTTCTAGAACTAGTAAACCTCTAATAAATAGTAAGAAATCTGAAATTATATTAGCTTTAATAAATATTAAAGCTAAAGAACTTATTAATATATAAGATTTAGAACTCTTATTATAATAATTATAATTCTTTTTATTAGATATTATAATATATAAAATAAAAGAGTTAATAAGTAAATACTTAAAATATTTCAAGTATTTACTAGTAATAAGAAAGAAAACTATAAGATTACTTTTATATTTATTATTATATAAATAAATAATAAAGCTAGAAGAAAATATTATAGAATTAATTAAAAAAAATTAAAAAAAACTTAGAAAAGATTAGAAAAAGAGATTAGAAAATAATAATAGAAAAAGTTATTATATATATAATTATTAGAAAGAAAGAAAGTATATAATAATATAAAGAGATTCTTTTATAGAAATAAAGAATTACCTGAATTAATTATTAGTTTTTATATTAGTTCTAATTAGAAATTAGTATAACTAATTAATATATATTTCCAGAATTCTATAAATAATCTCTAGGACCTTAGAAATATTTATATGGGTTTCTTATATAAATATTTATTAAATTCTTTCTATATAGCTATTTAGATTATTTTAATATGAGATCTAATAAATAATATTAATTTTATAAAATAATACTTTAGTATTTTAAATTAAACTAATTAGAATACTCAAACTCTAAACGAAATTATAATTACTAGCTAGTTTCTATATCTAGAATATAATTACTCTTTTTTCTTATTTACTTAACCCTAATCTAATTAGACGATTTTTATATTTATTATTTAGATTATATTAGGGAAACTATTTTTTAAGATACTAGAAGTTTGCTTTAATTAAATAAATAATTAATTAAATATTTACTAGAATAGATTAATAGATTTTAGGAATAAGATTCTAAAAAGAGAATATAATTATAATATATATAGAAATATATATAATTTAAGGATATATAATAAATCTCGAATATTATAGGTATTAATTAGAGAAATCGGCGGCTCTTTAATTTTATAACTAACTACTATTTATATTATAAGTATTAGGCTTATAAATTACTAATTATATATATATTATTAGAGTCCTCTATTTAGAAGAAGCTTCTCTAGACCTTATAAGAAAGATAGAGATTAGTTCTATACTAAATTTAATATTATAGTTTTATAATTTACTAATTTATTTTATTATTTTATTACTTACTAATAAATACCTTATAATAAATCCTTATTTATTTAGTTTAATATTAATAATAAGACTATTATTAAGGTATATAATTAGGCTTTATATAAACTTATATTTAAATAGGATAATAAAGTTTTAGTAAAGTAATAAGATATAATTATAAAAAACTAATAAGCTATATTATATTATTAAAATATAATTAAAATTATACTATATTATTTCTTATTAATTCCTAATAAGTTATATTATTTTTTTTAATTTCTAAAAAAAGTAATAATAACTATAATAATAATAAGAATATCCTAGCTAAAAAGTAATTATTTAATTAATAAGTCTAATATAGTATTATTATTAAAAATATAGAATAAAAAACTATTAAGGATATAAAATAAGAAACTATTAAGGTAATTAAAAATATAAAAATTATTATTCTAAAATATAAATATTTTAAGATATTATTAGGATATATTAAAATAGTAAAGAATAAATTTAAGAATAAAATTATAAAAAAAGTATATAATATTTTCCCGGGCTTTATATTAATATAAAAGGGCTTATTTATAAAGATTTCGAAAACGAAGAAATAAATATATATATATTTTTTATTAAGTTATTTTAAACTTTTTTTTTAGAAAACTATTATAATATTTTTATATTTATATTTCTATATTATATATATATTATATAAAACTTTTTCTAGTTTTTAGTAATTAGAATATACTAGTAACTTATAATCTTATATTTCTAGTCTTTAGTAATTAAATAAATATATTTATAATATCTAGTTATATTTTTAGTCTTTAGTAATTTTGGAAATATAATTATATAATATCTATAATAGCTAGACTCTAGTTTTAAATAATTAGAAAAAGAATAGAACTTATTATAATAATTCTTTTTATTTAATTAGTTATTTTTTCTTAATATATTTTATTATTATTATAATAAGAATATTAATAATATTTTTAGTAATAGTAATTATTATATTATAAATAATAAAGGTTATATTAGTATAATATAATATAAATAATATTTTAGAAATAGTATTTCTTTTATATAATAAATAAAAATAAATAAAATAAAAATAAATAAAATAAAAATAAATAAAATAAAATAAAAATAAATAAAATAAAAATAAATAAAATAAAAATAAATAAAATAAAAATAAATAATTATTTTATTAATAACTTATAATATTTACTAAATAAATTTAAAGTTAATAATAAGATTTAAATAATATTATTTATAATATATATAATATTTAGATTTAATTTCCGAATTATTATAAAAATAAAAATAAAAATTAATAAAAATTATATTTTTAGTACTTTCTTTCTTATTTTATAAAAGCTAATAGTTTTAATAAGTATTTAGATAAGATTTCAAGACTTTATTAATATTTATTATTTTTAATAAGAATACTATATTTAATAATTATATTAAATAACCTAATAGTTTCTTCTCTTATTTAGTATAATAATAATGTAATAAGCTCCTAGTATACCTCACCTTACTCTAACCTTTCCAGAACCAGAAGATTCTTTAGGGAAAAGTATAAGAGATATTCCTTTGAAATAGCTACTTATATTAGGTTGCCTATAGTATTACTATCTATAAAATCTAGATAATGAGAGACAAGATAAATACCCTTATAATACCTAACCCTATAGGTTTATATATATAGGGCATTTTCCGGACATTTTCAGGCTATATAAAGATTACTTCAGGGTCTCGAATAGCAAAAGTCTTTACGAGCCCATTCTTACTAGTCTGTATTCTATAGGCCCATTTTCAGGCCTTACTAAATTCAAGTTAATAGTTTTATGTCGCTTTTAATAGATAACTACTTATTGTTTTTCTTTTAAACTAAAGCGTATAATATAGAAGTAGTTAAATTTATTTATTAATAATACTAGAATAAATTAAGTAATAGTTCAAAAAGTTGGGAATTCCCTTTAGTAATCTTTAGCGAGGAAATTGTCCTGTACCATACAGACTAGTGAGAATGGGCTCGTTATAATCACTTAACTATTATAAGACAGCAATAAATAATTACGGCCTACGACCCGGGCTTTGAGAATTAAAATAGGTAAAGTATAGTTTTATTAATTAATTCTCAAAATTTAAAAGTTCTAAAATATTCGTTATTACTAAAATGCCCTGTACGCACAGACCTATGAGGTTAGGCTCGTTAGGCAGAGACATAACTAACCTGACTTTGTTACCAAGTTACGAGCCTCGTGCCCACTAGTCTGTGGATTACAGGGCCTTTAGCGACCAAATAATCACTGAAGCAAAACCTCGACTTTTGCAAAAAACTACAATAAAATAAATTACTATAAAGAAATCAATATTCACTTCTTGTAATCATATCCCTCCATATTTTAAAGGATTACAGTTTGTGGTTATCGAATATAACTTAGTTAAATATTGCGATTTATGTTTTGCGAGGCCTGAAAATCTCGCTAAAATCCACAGACTAGTTGGCACCAGGCTTGTTACTACAAGGAAGCTAACAGACTTTCCTAATACAAGCACCAGGAACCTCATATACAAAGACTCAGCCCCTACATGTACAAGTCACACAGCATCCAGAAACATCGGCCCTCGCAGCAAAGTCATCGGACAATTATATCTGCAAAGTTCAAGTCACATCACCACTTTATTACGGCCGGTGACAAACTCCCAGACTTCACCAATTCTAACAGATTCAACAGGGACATAGCTACTTCACAATGGCTTACTTGCCTTGCCTATGACTTGAAGAAGGCAGGCCAGAATCCGCCTTCACCAGAGCTCTTCCTTGAGGCAATCGAGATGCTCTTGGAAGGTGGACCTGCGAAGCGCCTTGACTCAACTCCCGGGGTCCGGAAGATCGTTGAGAATTCATCTTCCGGGAGCGACTCATCTGCTGAATCTTGGTTAGATATCGCTCAGATAGTGGACGTTTGTCTTCGGGGGCTGGCCCATTGGAATTCTTCGTACTCTCCAAGATGTGTTTCTGCGTGGCGAGTGGGGCTTGTCCAATGGTATGCCTTCGGATCAATGAGCTTGAATGCCAGCTGACGGAAGAAAAGTAGCTTACTTTTATGTTTTGCGGTGGCTCCCATGCGGACTTGTCTTCACTGCAACCGTCCCATGGATGGCATAGCTCGTTGTACTGTACCAATGAAGTTGTGGCTCTTAATTTATCACGGACAGTAAGAGGGGTGCAATCGTTGGGTGGATTACTATTCAGGAACCGAGTCGCCGGTAGCTCTCGCATCTCGATCTAGTTGTTGTAGTCTTTGTTGTAGTCTCTTTACGTGGGCTGACGTTCCCGCGATTGTTGCAGCAGTATCTTCATTGCTACTTTTCACCGCCGCGATCCAGAATTTTGCGTGGCCAATGATTCGACATACCTGCTCATAATGTCATAGTAATCCAAAACTCTCTTCCCGACCCCAACTGTCATCGGCACAGACACTTCCATCCTCATGATTGCCGCGGTCCTCGAATGGCAATAGCTACATAGCAATGATACGGGTTTCCAAAAAGATGTACTCTGAAATGGTATATCGAAAGGCTTAGTGCACGGCTGGGAACTGTAGTCTCAGGTACTGAGTTGTGGCATGATAGATCAGAATGCTCAGAATCTCAGCATTACCGAATATTCATTGACTTAGCTTCACGTAATTGTTCCACAACATCTCGCACCTCACTTCTACTCACCCTTGATAGCATCCATTAGCACTTTCTCATCCCACCATATGCTCACCTCCTTAAACCCTAACCCATCTGTCCCCACGCCTTCCTCAGCTGCCTCCTCTACGACAAAAGTCATGAAAATTGGTATCCTGACCTCCTCTTGCCCTGTACTCCGCCGTCCCTTCATTCTCAGGCACCTTACCGCCTCATTGTAAAGCACCCATTGTTTCCTCATCTCTCCTGTGTCTGCGTCTGTTACATTTCGCTCGATCTCAATCAACGATATGTTGTCGTGGTGAATGTACTCCAGGGGTGCAAACAAGGTACTCATCCACTCCCAGATAGCATCTGAGGTGTGGTAGGTTACGCCGTTGGTGTTGTGGAAGGTTGCGGTGGGGAGGTAGTAGCGTGTGGAGGGGGTAGACGAGAGAGGATGGCTCGGAGCGGCTTCGACGGTTGTGGAATATGTTTCGAGGAGGCGAAGACGGGGGGAGAGGCGGGTTTGAGGGGAGTATGGGCCGGAGTGGTGAGAGAGGATGGTCATTGTTGTTTGGGAGAGAGGTGAACTCAAAGACATTATTTCAGTGAGAGCAAGTATTATGGCAGAGTTCTCGGTTGGCTGTCTAAATTGATGTTGAGAGGAGAAGATGGAACAGAATCATGTTAAGATATTGAGGAACCGGAAGAGGTCGCGAGATCTTATTTATATACCTGATTCTGAGATAGATTAAGAGAAATATTATTTTACTGTACATCGGCCTTGTTAACGAGCCGTGAGTAATCAGTTTTTATCGACGAACAGGACGCCTGGCAAGTACGCAATCTAATATGCAAATAACCAGGTTGCGTATTGATGACATCAGTATGAATATGGTCGTACTTCAGTATTTCTGTATTAGGATCAGCAGGGATCCGCAGCTCTTCTTTGGCTTATTTTCTAAGCCAACTTTTATAATATAGCTCGTGCATATATAATAATAAATACTGACAGGGTCACCGTCGAATTTCCGAAGACGGTTACTGGTAGGGACCCGCAGTCAATAATATGTAATCTCTAGCAACCGAGGGCATTTAAACCTTTGGCTTTTTTAGGCTGACTTCTAAGCTAACTTGCGTCGTGTGACGGCGCCATGGTATGGTCCAAGTATAATAGAATTATGCATTAGTAAGCTTAGGTTATTGCCGAATTTCCGAAAACGGTTAATGGTAGGGATCCCTAGTGAATAATGTGCCTAGGGACCAAGGGCAATTAGTCTTTGGGCTTTTCCCTCGGCATATTTGTAATCAAAATTGCGTCGCATGACGAAACAGCATGGCGGCGGCAGAAGCCGTGGCAGGATAGCTGAAAAACGTCGACACTACCGGACGAGTAATCGCGATTCGCGATCAATTGTGATCCGAAGTATGAAATAGAAGCGAACAGCCACTGATAGGAAAGAAAGCTCGAGGGATACAAATAGGGCTGCGGTGGCAGTCCAGAGGTCCTGCACAGAGAACCGATTTTCTCCCACTGCTCGAAAAAATCAGTCACATAACAACCTTCGTTCCAAGAACCAGGACAAGTCTTCATACGAACAACCCATAATAATCATGAGTGAAGAAGCTGCCCATCCAACTCATCCCGATGATATTTTAGAGAAGCATCCAAGTGCTCCTTATCCAGACATTTAGTACATCTTGCCCATGTTTTCTTCATCTGCGTCTAGAAAAGAAAAAAGTGAACGAGAGCTAACTTAGGGCAATAACGAAGCTACGAGCCGGGGAAATCTTCACACGGTCTTCCATATGATCCCTTCAAGAGTATCGTCATCCCCAGACCCATTGGCTGGATCAGCACAACGTCCGTCGACGGGCAAGACAACTTAGCTCCGTTCAGCCAATTCACCAACGTTGCGTTTGACCCGCCTACGATTCTGTGAGTAGCCTTTTGTCGATAGGCAAACTCTTTTGGAAGGTTCTACTAATGATTTTTCTACCTCGTAGCTTCATCGGCCATGGGTCTCATTATAAAAATCGGAGCAAGGACTCTGTCGTCAACGCCCGTGAGACTGGGGAATTCGTCTGGAATTTGGCAACGTGAGCATCCTTTTCATTGAACCACTAAATCAACCGAGCTAATGACTTTTCGGTAGGTATGGGCTCAGGGAAAAGATGAACGAGAGTGCTATGGAGACCTGGGAAGACGAATTCCCTTTGGCCAATGTCACGAAAGCCCCTTCAAGAATCGTTCGTCCCCCACGCGTTGCGGAATCTCCTATCCACTATGAATGCAAGACATGGAGCGTCATTCAGGTGCCAGGAAATTCTCGTGTCGGATGTTCTGATATCGTCATTGGGCGTGTTGTAGCCGTCCATATCAAAGGAGAGGTTATTACAGGAGATGGCCTTATTGATGTGTTGAAAGCAAGGCCGTTAGCTAGGCTTGGCTATCACCAGTATACGAGTATCGAGAGCGTTTTTGAGATGATCGTGCCGTTGATGCCAGATGACACAATAGGCGCTGCTGTGCTTGGGGGAGACAAAGCAAAGGTGTCAGAAGAGATGGCAATAAGGAAGAAAACTTGGTTTGGCACAGCATTCGAGGGAGCCTAACCGTTTGGATCTCCTCGTTTAAATTGTTCAATTTTGGTCTTTTGATTGCTGTAGATTGCTGTTGGATATAATGCCAATGGAATTAGTGTTCTCGAAATCTCTGAGCTTAAATCGAATTTGATTTCTCTTCAAATTCTCAGGCTTCTGCCAAGATATTCTTTATGTCCTTTTCCTGGAGGCTTGCTAATAGATTTCTACTGGCCTTACAGACAGCCTTCAAACTTGAGGAGCCCCTCAAGGCGGGTAGATTTCTACTGGTCTTACAGATCCCCTTCAAGCTTTTGGAGTTTCGTAAGACCAGTAGAAATCTACCAGCCCCACGGATTCTCTTTTGCATCGCATTCAATATAAGCCCCTCAACGCTTCTTGCAACGAGAATCGAATTTTGTCCTTCGGGCCTTCACAAGCAGGACGAGACAGAACTTTTGTCTGAGTTCACCGCGACAATTTCCATTGCAATAAGAATAGTGGAAACTTGGAGGGAGTGGCGAGGTAGCATGGCCTTATTCAGAACAGAGGACTACCAGCAAAATGGGTATCAAATCCATCCGACCATTCAATTCCCTGCCTCGCAAGACATACTCTTCCAGTCAACATCCTCCAACATTAACAGCTGCTGGCACTCCCACGAAACCTGACAGTTTCTATCATTGACCTTGCTTTAGGATCCATACTCTCAATATTAGATACCCATACTATAACACCATATATCTTCTGTATATGAGGATGGCCTTAGCTTTAATTATTCTTTGCGGTAACGCTAATGAGATAGATGTTTCGTTCCTTCTCAAGCTCAATTTCCACTCATACCCTGAGATTACAAGGCATCTAATAAGTGAAAGTCTCGGAAAGTCTGCCCTTGAGCAGTTTCCAGGCGGAGTGCGTATTCTTTAATAACTTAGTAGTAAAGTTCAATAGTTGCAAACTATATACTAATAGTAATAATATATATTAGAATTCGAAATATTAATAATTTCGAGTTTTAAATATAAGTACTATTATAATATTTTTATTATAAGAGAAATATTAATATTTGAGTATAATATAATATCCTTTATAAATAAGAGACTTAATTAATATAATTAATATATAAGTAAAGTTTTTAATTTAAAAATTAGAAATTCTTAAAATAAATAAGCTAATTATATTTCGAATTATTTATTTAAAATATAATAAGCTTTTATTAATATAAGAACCCGAAATAATAGCTTATTTAAAAAAGAAAATTTATATTAATATAAAATAATATATATATATATATAAGTAAGATTTTGCTTTATTTAGCTAGTTTTTAAAATAAAACTTAATAAATTATCTTTTATTTAATAATAATAATAATAATAATAATAATAATAATAATAATAATAATAATAATAATAATAATAATAATAATAATAATAATAATAATAATAAAATAATAATAATAATAATAATAATAATAATAATAATAATAATAATAATAATAATAATAATAATAATAATAATAATAATAATAATAATAATAATAAATATATTTATTATTAGTATAGCTATTTCTTTAGGAGTTATATATATAATTATAGGATTCGGGAAACGAAATATAAGTAATAAGATATAAGATATAAAATATAGTTATATAATCTCGTATTTTATAAATAACTTAATTAGTAAACTAGATTTTATTAGGTTTAGTAAATTTAGGAATTATATATTAATTAGTTTATATATATAAATTAAAAAATAAAATCTTTTAAGCTAAAAAAGTATCTAATAGCCTATAATAAAATAAAATTAGTTTATATTAAAAGAAAGAATTACTTATTAATTTTATAAAGTATTTAATAATCTAAGAAAAAAAATAGCTAGCTTTTACTAAAAACTAATAATTATTTTATTAAAAAAGTATTTAATAGCCTAAAAAAAACTTTAGTTTTTACTAATTAATAAATAATTAGCTATTTAATTATCTATTATTTTTAAAAATTAACTTCTTTTAATTCTAAAATTATTTTTTTAGAAATTATTCTTTCTATTTATATAATATCCTAATTTATAAGATCTTCTTTATAGAATATATATTTTATATATATTTTTAAAGCTCTTTAAAGCTTTAGACTTTCCCGGAATTATAATATTTTACTTTCTAAATTTCTTATTATAAATAAAAATTTCAAATACGAAATATTTACTTTAATACTTTTATTAAATATCTAATTATCTATAGTAATAAGGAAGTCTTGAATTATTTTAATACTAGACTATTATAATATAAAATAAAGAAATTAACTAATAATAATTTCTAGAAATTATTTAAGAATAATTTTAATAATTTTAATTTTAAAATACTTAATTAACTAAATTAATATTAATTATATTAATTATAAATTACTTTATAATATAGTAATATTTTAATTAAATATAATAATAAAGAATTTATTATTATATAGTTTTTAACTAATATTATTTAGAAAAAAGAATAATATATCTAGATTATAACTAGTGTAATAGTAGTTACTAAAAGAATAGCAAGTCAGAGAGCAATCCAAAGTAGTATTGTAACTGAAACTTGAGGAAGCAAGTGAGTCGTGGGAGGTGCAAAGCCTTATGGGCTTGCGTACGGACCATATACACGCATATAACATACTCGCTAGAATACTTGAGTACTCTATAATAACTAATATTACTATTATTAGACTAGATCTTAATACGGGCCTTATTATCTTATTATATATATTTCTTAATAATAGTATTATAAGAAATTAATATATTAAACTAATTATTACTTATATTTCCTTATTACTTATAATTACTTTTACTAGTATTAGATTATAAAAAGCTAGTAATAACGGATTTCTATTATTTCTATTATTTCTAAATAGCTCTTTAAATAACTCTTTTATTATAAAACTAATTAGAAAAATAATTAAAATATATATTAAAATATAGAAATATAATAGAACTAATAATAGTTTTAATTAAAAACTTATTATTTTTCTTAATATTTACTAATATATAAAGCTTTTATGAAAGGTATTAATAAGAGCTTTCTTTATTATATTAAAGAAACTAGTATAAGATTACTTTTATAATAACTAGCTCTTTTAATATATATATATAAAGGCTTATATAAATATTTATAGCTTTTTTAAAGGCTCTAGTTTCTAATATTAAAACTTAAATAAGTAAAATATTATTATAATAATAATTATAATAGCTTAATATCCTAAAAAATAATATTTGAGCTTATTTAGTTACTAATTAATAACTTATATAAATTATAATATAGACTAGTACTTATTTTATAAAATACCAAATTCCTATATAATAAAATTATTACTTTTTATTAAAATATACTAATATACTAATATATAGTCTCGGATCTTTCTTTTAGTTTTGGCTAGCTTATTAATAAGTTTTAATTATTTATTACTATTTATAAAAAGAAATAATAAATTCAAATTCAAATTCTTTTTATTAATTAATAATATTATTTAAGAAAATAATTAAGTAATTATCTATTTAGAAATTATTAATATAATTCTAGTTATAACTATAGTTCTCGAAATAATTACTCAAATAATTATAAGTCTTATAATTATAATAATTATCTAAATAAATTATATTTTATATATAAAAAACCCGAATACTATTTCTAGAAATATATATTAGAGAAATAAAAGACTAAAAAAGCTTGATTTAGAACCCGAAACTTCTATTAATTTAAAGCTCTAAACTTTTATTAATTTAATAAAAAGTTTAATAATAACTATTTAAAACCAGTAGCTAAAATTAAAAAAGAAAAAAATTATAAAAGTAATAAAAATAATAATAAAGAGAATTATTTAGATAATATTTTTAAGGCTTTTTTAGTATTAATAAATAAAATAAAGAATTAGTATTTAGATTTCTATTTTATTTTAGTTAAAAGCTTTCTAATTATTTCTATTATATTAATAATTATAGCTAATACTTTTATAAATAACTCTAGTTCTTTTTTTCTTATATACTAATTAATAAATAAAAATTATATCTTAAATTTTAATAAACTATTAATAGAATTAGCTATAGAAAATACCTAAACCTTTATAATAAATAATATTTCTAAATATAATATTTATTATTTTTACGAAATTATAATTAATATTAAAGCTTCTAGATTCTTAATTATTAGTTCTAATTAATTCTAAACTTTATAATAAACTAATAATAGTATTAAATTTAATAAAATAATTAAAAATTAAATTAATATCTAGTTTAATATTAAATCTATATCTTTTATTAGATTTATAATAGTAAAAATATTAATTAGGTAATTATAATTCTATATTATATTTATAAAAACTTTATATTTATTTAGTTTAGCTAATATAAATAAGCTAGAAGTTTATTTTAATTATTTTATTAATTATTTTATTATTTTTATTAATTATTAAATATTTATAATATAATATTTCAAATATTTTTTCCTATTTTAAAATACTATATTATAAAGCTTTATTTTCGAATTCTTTATTTATAATTCCTATTTCTTTATAAATATTAAATTATAATATTTATATTATTACTTTAGTTATTTATTAGTTAATAAGCTCTAAAATATATTAGAATAAATAAGTTATAATATTAATATAAAAGCTTTTAAATATTTTATAAAGTATTATAAATAATACTAGAAATTTAGATAATTATTAAAATAATATTAGCTTTAATTATTTTATATTTCTAATAGGTTTATACTTTATATTATTAATAAAGATATCTAATATTAAGTAAGCTAATAATTATAAAATATTAGTATTTTATATATTTAAAATACCTTAAAATAATATTAAATTAATATTTATTTAGGTTTTCCTAATTAGTATTATAGGTATAGTATTTAGGGTTTAGAAAGCAAGATAGAAGGTCTTTTATAAAAATGATTTAAAGCTAAAAAAGAGAAAACTAGAATATAGGAGGCTATAAAAGAATATATATATTCTATAATATACTAGTCTCAAAGAAGCTAGTTTTCTAAATATCTCTAGTATATTTCAAGTATACTTTCCTAGTAAAGCAGCTATATTATATATATCTAGGAAATATCTAATATCTAGTAAAATATTTCAGATACCGGATATCTAGGA